GCTACGCCACCAGGGAGGGCCTAAACTGGGATTTTTTTTTAATGATTTATTTATTTATGCATATAAGGACTGGGGTACAGGCTATAGTTGAGGGGGTTGGAGGATTCACAGAGACAGAATGGGGAGCAGAACAGGTAGATGTACTGAAATACACTGCTGAAGGGAGCAGTGGGCAGATCAGGAGAGGTCTGCCATGCTATGTGGGTCACCTCCCTGGCTGGGGATCAAACTCATGCTGCAGTGGCACCTGATAACTTCATAGTGCTGTTCTTTAACCCCTAGTACCAGCAGGGAGGGCCCAAACTGGGATGATTTTCATATAAACAGCTGTTAATAGCAGCTTGATCAGACACCCACAATTGATCTTAAAAATTTTATGACATAGTCATTTCATTTCCAGAGCTGTTCTATATGCATAGTAAACATGCAACTTTATAACAGGAGGTGTTGATGAGTGTTTGAAACTCTACATGTACGGTCCCTACGTTTGTCTATAGGTTTAAAAGCAATGTTTGTGATCTATAATCAGAAGTTAACAAAATTGAACAACATTTATACATATTACCCATACCTCTTAAAATTAGTGTTAGTGATCAATTTTAAGTTAGATACAATATAAAACTTTCTATGCAAATTATCTGTTAATTCTTAGCCAGAAATTTAATGAAAATATACTCAGTAGTTGCAAAAATGAAAAAGTCAGTATTACTTGAAATTGAAATTGTGTTAAAATAGCCCATGTTCTTTTTCCTGGTAGAAGCAACTAAATTTAGGCCTACATGAGATTGTATTTAAATTAGTACTTTAAAATCTAATGCTGTATTTAGATTCTAATTTTATAACAGTGAATATCCCAAGTAAGTCTGAGTAATTATTAAATTTGTGTTTAATGAAATTTGTGAACATTTTAAAATGAAAGAATTACCATACCTAAAGTAACACATTAATTCTGAATTTAATTTCCCATTAGTTTTATAAATGCCTAATAAATGCATTTTTATTTTTTCAGAATTCTACTGCATTTGGGCTTTATATCAGCAAGCCTTCTCTTTTTAACAGTGAATTTGACTTGTGCAATGCTAGTCCATGGAGATGTCCCAGAAAGTCAGTTGAAATGGACTGTGTTTGTTCGTGCATTAATTAATGATAGCCTATTTATTCTTTGTGCCATTTCTTTAGTTAGTTACATATGCAAAATAACAAAAATGTCATCAGCAAATGTCTACCTCGAATCAAAGGTAAGTATATTTCTTGAATTTATATTATTTAAAGTCTAACTTCAGATCTTCAAAACAGGAACTATATATTTAATGGAAAGTTTGTTTTTTTAAGTATTTTTAAGATAAGGCACAATTTGAGTATGAAAGAATGATCCCTGGTAATTAAAAGGTATTCAGCATTTGGTTATCATCAAATAATGATTTTTTAAAAAGAAGCTTATACTAAGCAAGTATTTTCTATGATATATATATCCTCTGCATTTGATGCAATTAAATGAAATAAGCCAGAATTTATATAGCTATATCAAAGATAATCTAACGATTTAAGATTTTGTCTAGTAAGGTCAGTGGTACTGCTTTTAAATAAATTTACTAGATTATACCTACTTTTGAGTTAGTAATGTTATGAGGTTATATTGATAAAGTGGCATTTATTTGTATAAAGTTTTAGAAAAGCTTACTTCATGCTATAATATAAAGTCCCTATGATATTTGAAACAGTTAGTCATGTAACTAAATTTATAAATGCTTTGTGGCTCTCTTGTACTTTGAATCAGCAAACAGAAGCCAAGTGCTAACCCATTAACAAGGAACCATGGAAATTTCTGGTTTTGTTGATTGACATTATGATGGAGCAATGAATATGTTATCACAGCATATATGTGGTACTGGATGTGGGGGTGTAGTTGTATATATGTTGGGGTATAGGTTTATACATAAACATAAGCTTACTTTAATTTGGTGTCACTGCTGATTCAGTGATTTGGCATATATTGCTAAATCTAAACAAGATAGCATCTGAAAACAATGATCTGATTTTGTTTAGAGCTGTATAGTGTTATCTTTAATATAATCCAAATAAAGTATTATAATAAATGTGTAATAATTCAGCCTTAAAATTTTAGTGATTTTAAGTTTACTTTTTTTTTTTTAAAGATTTATTTATTTATTCATACAGTACTGGGGTACAGGCCAGAGATGCGGAGGGTGAGAGGATTCACCAGAGACAGAGTGGGGAGCAGAACAGGCAGATCGACGAAGTACACTGATGAGGGGAGCAGCGGGCGGGTCAGGAGAGGTCTGCCACGCCATGTGGTCACCTCCGGGGCAGGCGGGAATCGAACTCATGCGGAAGCGGCTTTAGATTCTCAATGCTGTGCTTTAACCGGCTGCGCCACCAGGGAGGGCCTTAAGTTTACTTTTTAAACATTTATTCGTAGAATATAAAGTAAATATATTTTCAACCTATTAATCTTACCTGGAAAATCATTTCATTCAACTTCTGTTATAAAAAGTTAGTTCCTCAAATTTAAATATTTTAGCTAATTCTGCTGCAGTTTACATGTTAAAAATGCTGCTGTTACAGTTCATAATCTTCTGGTGGAACAACGGCTTTTTCACTTAGTGTCATCACATCACTAAATTTACACCTCCTACTTGTTTAGTGATAAAGCATAAAGATGGGTTGAAGTTAAAGATATCGTTTCAGGTTACCTAGCAATTTTTTAAATTTGGTGTTACCTGCTTTGAAATTGATAATTATCTGACTAAAGTTCCCAGTCTGATCAGTAAAGTTCATCTGATAATACCTTCAGAATTATTTCAATCATCTTCCCATAGCTATCATATTAAAGGTATTCACTTCATTATTATTATTATTATTTTAAAAGTCTTAAAATTAAGAGCTGCATAGATTCAGAATTCTCCATGAACACTACAGAGAGACATGTTCAAATACATACCTATAAAGGTAAATAAAATAGGAGATAATAGATTTTTTTTGTAATCTATTATTCTGTTAGGTAGTTTTTGACTTCATAAGTGGGCTATACATTTATTTTATTTAAATTTATTTAAAGTACATAATCTTGCTTTCATGTTCTTGTCAAATCATTAAGCTCACTTTTGGGTTTTTGTTTTGTTTTGATTTTTAACTTCTGTAACAATTACAGTAATGGCCATTTTTCACTTCGATCAACATTTGTCTTTTGAGTATCTAGCCCCTACCCTTTCAAATTGAAATTGGTTCTGTTAGTTTTTCACTATTCCTAAAATTGTTTTTCTAAAGCTCTGATTTTGGCCTTCTGTTTGTTTGTTTTATTTTTACTTCTCCCTCATCTATATTTTCTGTGATAATGATGTCCTTAACTTGCCTCAACTAAATCTTAGCCTACCTTGTTTCTAAATGGCACACGTCATCCTGTCCTAGCTCTATGTCCTCAGGCCTTTTTATCCTGCAGTACTGCTTTCCTCCCACCCAGTGTTCCTTAGTACCTGTTTGTATTTATCTTACCAAGGTTAAAGGCATAATTGTTACTCTCTTTTTGAAAACCTTATTTGATCCCTCCTTGTCCATCTCCAAAATAAAATTTACAATAGCTATCCATCTGATTTCTCTTAAAATTGTATTTGTCCTCTTGAAATAATGCTTAGCGTGTAGGACTTGTGTGTGGGCGCTCCTTGCCCAGTTTTTCTAACTGAGCTCGTGACACTGGAAGGGAGATCTACTTGTTATTTATATCTCACTTGGTGTCCCATACTATGAGAGTCAATTAATTTTATTTGAATGAGGGTCTTCAGCTTTTTGCTTCTATCTAGTTTGGACCTCACTGCGTATTTTACCAGCCTAAATACATCTTTCTCCCTACCAATAGCCTATACCTCTCTGTATTGCACCAATTTTGTCATTGTCATCTTTCTGCCATTTTCAGACTCAAATTTGGAATATAATGGCTGTTTCTTCATTCCTAATTCTAGCTCTTGTCCACTTTTTCATTAATTTTTTTTCTCATATCAGTGTTTCTCTATTTGAGCCAATAACAGAAAAAGGCACATCGCTATCTGTATCTGCTGTGCAGCAGGCACTGTACTAGTTGCCATTCACATTACCTCATGACAATTTGTGAGGTTACCTTAGCCCTATTTTGCAAACTAAATCAAAAAAGGTGGGGATATTGGGAAGCTTAAGAGGCAGGGATGGTGTGGCTTTATAAGATTTTGTATGAACTGGATTATCGAGGTATTTGACCTCACCTCCCTTTGCTCTTCACTTTTCTGTTTCAGCTGCATGATGCTCCTTCCGACCCCACACAGCTCCTCATCACACAAAACATATACCACATTCATTCCAGCCTTATAGTTTTTGTGTGCCTAAGTTGCTATACTTATGCATGTGATGGCTTCTTTGCATTCAGGCATCACTTTCTTAAAACAGCTTTTCCTAACCACCCCACTAAGGTTACCTGTCCATTTTGACTACTATAAACATCACCTCTTGTTTTCTTTATTTCATTTAGGGATAGCCAAAATTATTTGTTCATCTGTATGCATATTTATATTTTGCTTCTCCCTCTTAAAGTGTAAACTCTGAAAGCATCTCCCTTGCCTGTCGTGTTCATTTTTCTTTTTTTTTTTAAGATTTATTTATTCATGCATACAGAACTGGGGTACAGGCCAGAGGTGGGAGAAGGTGAGAGGATTCACCAGAGACAGAGTGAAGGGAGAACAGAACAGGCAGATTGACAAAGTATACTACTGAGGGGAGCAGGCGAGACAGGAGAAGTCAGCTGCCCTATGTGGGTCACCTCCCTGGCCGGGCATTGAACTCATGCTGAAGCGGCTTTGACTAGCTTCCTAGTGCTGTGCTTTAACTTGCTAGGCCATCAGAGAGGGCCCTGTCCATTTTTCTATCCCATTTGTCTAAAATAACGCCTGGTTTATAATAGGTAATCGATAAATTATTTGTTTAATAAATACATTCCATGACTGTATAGTCTTTGTCAGATCAGCTTTGCCCTAATAACCAAATGAGCTTTCACAATTGGGTTGTGTCAAGAGCAAATTGAACTAAAAAAACACGCCCAAGGTCACATAGTTAAACCAAGTCTAACTCAGCTACTGACTACAGCCTTTGCCAATACCACTATTCTTTGTATTGAGTCTGTTTACATAGCCCTATAATCTTTTAGATACATATTTTAAATCATTGTAATTTACATATATGATTTTGTTTGTATGCTTACTAATGACATAGCATTCTAATGTCTTACTAATGACAAATATTCTTACCAGATTTTGTCATATAACTCTCCAAAAGAATGTTATCATTATTGTATAAGCTTGCATCATTTTCTCTTTTCCAACAGTATTCTAGCTCAATATTTTTACTTATTTTGTTTATTTTCATTCTTAATGCATTAAAAGTTTTAATTTAAATTTATTTTATGGATATGCAGATATATATATAGTAGTAGAAACTTAATATGCACATTTCTGCATGTATAAACTATTTCTCAGGGACTTTTAGAGCAGAACCTGGGAATTTTTTCTTTATATACTTGTCATGTATGTTTTGTTTCTATTAAAATGTCACCTTTTTAACACTATAGCCTTCATAAGTTTCATGTGTATTTAATTAATGATAGATATTTAATATCTTGAAATCTTTCTCAGCTTTTCATATGGCCACAATATTGTTTTTCTGTTTATTCTAGTATATAGTAAATTATTTGATCAGATTCCTGGTTCCTTGAATTTTTTATGTCCTACATAAGTTTAATGTCAGTGTAAATTCATAAAAAGTTTTTATTCAAGTCAAAATTTAATAAAGTAATCTTTTTGAAAATAAATTCAGGAGGATTTTTTTGAGATGGTATTTTTAGAAAGTAGAAATCTTTCTTAGCACTTCTTTTTGTGTGTCCCTTAGTGAAAGAGGAAATTACATAAGAAAAATCATAAATTTTAAATACACACTATACAGGTACATCCTTAAATAGATCTTTTTAATATATGCATTTTTTGTTACTATATTTAAGAATACATACCTTGAATTTTTAAGGTCGACTCTTTTTTATCATTTTCTTTATTGCTTAGTATTTTTGGTGCCATATTATTTTAAATTTTGTTAAACTCAAATTGAAGCAAAAGTATCTTCTCTTTTGGTATCTTTGTCAGGTTTCAGAATATAAATGTATTTGTTCCATATACTGAAAAAGGTAACACACATGGTAATACAAAGT